TGATTCATGTTGACAGATTAGGAGGAGAAGGTGTGTAAGGGATGATAGTTTATTATTGATACAGACAGTATGAATACTGAATTAATGAACTGCAAAAAAGTGAGAGAAGATAGCAGTAACATTATTATTAATGAAAATAAAGTTGAAGATCAAAGTGCAAGGACAGATTATAAATAACAGTTGGATTGATATGTGATTATATTTTACAAAAGTGGATATTAAAGATATGAATGGATGTAGTAGTTATGATACCAGGGGAAAATTTGCTCGGCTCCATCCGTCTTGTAGACCTGGACGGTAAATGAACTAACAGTCTCTGGTATGAAAACTAACTTTTCGTTGAGCTGCAAATCATGTTGAAGAACAAAAGAAGACCAGTTGTCGGTGAAAGCCCGACCTTTTATGTTGACTTGAAAAATCCTATATCCGGCTCTGAGAGTAATCACCGGCGTTCTTGTTTCATTTATGAAAACGCTAACGAACTTTGGTATTTTCTAGAAGTGGAAGGAAAACGGCAATGGTGAAAATATGCAGTAAAAGAAGAAAAAAAAATATATATATATATAAAGAAGAATGGTACTTACAAATTTGTGGCTGTTCTTTTCATTGTAAACTTGATAAAAAGATATGGAATCCATAAGGTCATGGGTTATATCTGGCTTGATGGAAGAGGATACATGCTGGTACAGAATATATGCAGGCTTGATATCACCTGAGATGAAAAACAGTGAGGAAATAAGGTACAATAAATTTCTAGGTAGCCTGGACAGGAAACACCATACCATCTGCACTGACCTTGGGCGTTTGCAGAATACTGCAACTGGAGAATGTTAGCAAGAAGAACAGTCCAACTGAGATAACTGTGCATTTTAAGTTCAGTGAACTGAATAACATCAAATTTTAAGTTTCCGATGTGACGCAGGAGAATATAACTGTTTTCGTCAAGTAAATTAGTTGTTTGGAATTCTATCCATCCATCTGCGAATTTTTGGTCTGTAACTTCAATAGTCCAGCTTTCATGCCCTTGAATGATAGTTATGTTACTTTTTTGATGCAGTTGCAGCATATAGTGAAAGCTGGGTGTTACAATCTGCAAGTGCAAAGTGGAAGTGATGAAGTCCTGGAACAGAAGGTTTTTTGTGGGTGGTATATTTAAATGGGGGAGGAAAAGTCTTACCTTTCTATGCTGCTTGCACTTGAAAAAAAAAACAACCTTGAGTAACATTGGAAAGATTATGTGGCTGGGTAGAGGAATTTTCACCATGTATGTCCGTTGCCATCGAATTTGATCCAGGGGTAATAAAAATATTGAATAAATAGTGTTATAATTAACAAAGAGTTTATTTTGATGCTTTATTTTAGAAGTGAATGAATATACGAAACAAGAGGCTTAGCACTTATATGGGGTGAGTTGTTTGAAATGCACTCAAAAGTGAACAAAGGGCCTATTGATAGTAATAGTACAGGCAGATAGTAATAGTAGGTGGATTCATGTATTCATGAAAGACAAATGAGTTGAAGTTTGTTCAGAGTTACAGGAATAACTTGTCATATTGAATTGTCTATCAGTTTTCATAAGCAAAGAGACAAAAAAGAGAAGAAAGAAACAGTGAGAGTCAACTGAAATCTTGAAAACAAGCAACCAGATAGACAAGCAACCAGATATCAGTTTTCACTGCAAATTCATGCCAACAAGCAACCAGATAGACAATTCAATAGGACATAAGTAAGAGTCAACTGAAATCTTGAAACAATTATATCGAAATAATAATAAAAAAAGGGATTTTTCATTCGTCACAATTACTTGCTAAATTATTTTATGCTGAACTTTATTGATGTTGAAAAGTCATTTGGAGCAAGGTAGGTAGCGTTCCTTTTTTGTTTGGTTGAAGGTGAAGGAAGTTGATGGAATCTATCTTGCATAGCTGCTATATGGTTATATTGGATGTTGGGAAATTTTCCTGCTAATAATTAGTCCTTTTCTGATCTTATTATCGAGTCATTTTTTGTCCCTTTTTATAGCTGTTTTTTTAAAGACTTCCGAATGTCTAAGAGTCATAGGCAATTAAGAGCAAGAAACTTGTTATAATTCTTAGTTTTATGGGGCAGATATTCATAATTATGTGATTCATTGTGGGCAATTTTTTGGTATATTTTGTCTTGGTGCTTTTAGTTTTGTTTATGAGTTGATAATATTTTTTATTTATTTAGTCAAGCAGGATTTTGTCAAGATTAAGTTAAAAATATGATTCCAGACAGTATCATCTTTAAGTTAAGTTGATAATATGTTTTAGATAGTATCATCTTTAATTTTGATAATAAAGTGTGAAGGTTTGGTTGTAACATTTGAAAGCTAAATTGGTAGCTGATTTTGGGACATACAAAGACGATGGTGAGAAAGTACATTGTCATGCTCGTATAAATGCAAGTTGCATGCCAGTTGATATAATTGGGCAATTGGACTTTAGTAAGTGTGAAGGGTAAAAAATTTATTTCTTGCTACCATTTCTTTAGTTCTAAGCGAGCAGATCTCTTTTGCAGGCAAGGGTGTGACATTGTAAGTGTTGGTATATGGTTCCTTTGGAAATTGTAATCGAATTTCAAGCTTCACAGTTTTTATTTCCTTCTTTTAAGAGCTTTGATATGCTAGTGGCTTATTTAAGGGCTTATATCTATAAGGTCGGTGAAAAACCAGATGTTTTATTTAACGTATATTGCAGAGTTAATAGATAATGGCTTGTGTAATTCAAAGCGAGGATGTCTGATTTATATCTATCAGAATTTAAATAAATGAAGTTTATATATTCCAAGGTAATATAAGAGGATATAGCAATAGCCATGATAATGCATAGAATTATGATCAAAGTAGCAGTTAACTACCAATGCGTCAAATATTACAAGGTTGTTTTGAAACAGAGGTAGTAAAAGCAAGCTGTAACAAAAGTAGAGTCAAAAGATAGGTGAACATGTAAGGGGCTAACACAAAATAAGCAGCATCGTTGAATAGGACCAAAATAATAAGTCAGGAAGATTAATGGGCTAGTGACTTTACATGCCTAAGAAAATTTGGCTCTCTTGGGTGAATTGGCAGCTTCAACAGGTGATGCAGATGAGCAGTCACCTTCTGACTCTTCAAATCTTTTAGCAAGGCATGATTTAACTTTTGAAGAAGAACCTTCGTTGACTACAATATTAAAAAATGGAAACAGGGATCAGTGACATTATAATAACCTGTGATATATAATGCGAACATCCAGAATGCAGAAATATAAAATTGTGACCTGAAGCAATTGAAGCACTGTTTGCAGTTTCATTATAAGTTAAAACATGATCAGGCATTTCTTGGATATCTAGCAACTCATATTCCAGGCGGTCAGTAGTTTCACAATAATATATAATTGTGTAACGCTGCTTTGCATCGGCCAGTTGAGACTGAACAGGTTTAATATGAGCTAGAAAAAGCTTTTGTTTCAGCTCAGCATGAGTTTTTTCTAAGGGAAGTTCAATGTTCTGGTAGTTAAAACATCAAGGAAAGAGAGTATGAGAATTATAAGCATAGAAAAAGATTTCAAGAGAAATTATGTAAATATATATAGTCTATTATATGTGGAGATGTGAACCTGAGTGAAGTGCTCCATTGCTTCTAATGCGGTGAAAGTAAGCAAAGTTTCAGCTAATTCACCAAAAATGGAAGCAGTGACCGTGCCCGTTGTATCAGTCAAATCAATGTCGAAGCGATATCTGTATATATTAACAAAAGGTAAGTAAAAGAAATACAGGAACACGACGAAGAATGAGCAACAAGGAATGTTAGTATCAAAAAGTGGGCAAGACTAAAAAAAAGGCGGTTAAAAGTGGTAGACTGTATGACGATAGACCTTGGTTCAGCCGGATGCCTTTCTTTGCATGAATTACATGTAAAAACGACTCCATGCGGAGCTGTTGTAGAGCGGAAGCATTTTTTGCATCCCATGTACCAGAATTTTTGGAAGATGTGCTCAAACGAGAAGGACACTTTGACCCACGAGCTCTGCCATAAAAGTAGCAATGAAATAGAAAGAAGAAGCAGTTTTGATAAATACATGTGAGAATGGGAGTAAATTGTATAATATACAGAAGTCTTACCTTTTGTGCTGGTTTCAGAAGGATAATTTTAGTTATTTTCTGATCTGGTTTAAGAGGTACATCAGGATTGAACTTCATGTAAGCTGCGTCAGTAACAAGGTCACTAAGTAGTTGAGAATTTTTCCTGGCCCTGTGTAAAAGAAGAGAAATCAATTAATGATCACAAGGGGTTATGATGAGTATCTTTAACAAAGGGACAAAGGGAAAAGAGTATCTAGCAACCATTTCTTTAGGTTTCCAGTTTCTTCTATAGGAGGATCAATAAGAATTGCAGAGTCAAACCAGGTAGATAGTGTGACTCCTGTAGGAAAATATGGCCAATTATCAGGGAAAAGGTAAAAAAAAAAAGATATATGAAGAATAAGCACTTGAGTGTTTAAATGTAAGATATATACTATAGAAATGTTAAACGGCATACCATTGTAAAAGCTAACTTTTAACCTGTGACAGACAACAACAGGCTGATTCTGGATGGAATGCGTCATCTGATAGCCTTCGTGAGTCACAAAATCATCCCACAATGACTAGACAACAGGCTGCAAACTAATATACGGAAAAGATATTTTATTGGGAAATCAGGAGAAAAGAAAAGCATCACATAATAAGGAAGAAATGTGTAAGGAAAAACTTACTCTTTGTTAACAATGACAAACTTTTGAACGACTGACTCTTTTCCATTTTTGTTGATATGTTTGACATCTAGTGACTGAACAACTATACCAAGAACATCTGGTGGAGAACAATACAATAGCAATTAGAAAAGAGTAACATAACTGGTGAGTAAATTAAAAAATTACAATGGTGAAGCTGACCAACTGATTTTTGCTTGTCATCGATGAAATTGACAAGATCGCTGAATTCTGTATAGTTAAACTTCACAGGGAGAATGTCATCATCATCATTGCTGGTTCAATGACCGTTCGGCTGGTGAGAACCCACTGGATCTTCAGGTCAGAAGTTTGATATTTTTCTGGAATGAGCCTTACAATGGCATTTGAAATGAGATACTTTTTATAAATCTGAAGGCGATGGCTGATCTTAGGGATATCATGATTGAATATAATTCCCTCCACTTGTGATCCCTAGGAAAATACAAGAGATTCACAAAGTAAGCAGCTATGGATGCATTGAACTGGTCATAAAAACATAAGATGTTCTAATGACAAGGGAAATTTAAGTAGTAGATGAATGTGATTTGTTAACAGCGAAGTGCTTAGGTACGGAGTATGAACAAGTAGATATAAATTGTAGCAAAAAGATGACCTCTGCATCCAGCAAAATAAGTTTTTGCTTTTTTGTTGGCGTCATTGTTGAGCCAGTTATTTGCTGCTTTTCTTGGACCGTTACTTTGCAGGTCCAACCCTCAGATCCAGGCAGGACGTTTTTGGCCGAGATAACATCCTGCATCCTGTATTTTTTTGCAAAAACAGAAAGAAAGTGACAAATTAGCAATAGGGTGTGAATGTGTAAATGATAAAATAATATGTAATGAATGGTATCATTGAGCAGACCTGATATATCATATGTTAGTGAATTTAAAGATATCGTGAAATACAACATTCCTTGTTTTACAATCAGTTTTGACATCATCAGAAGTACCCGAAGCAATCAAAACTTTAACTGCAGAAGAATTCCTAGCTCTAGAGAGAGCAACATAAAGCTGGCCATGAGAAAAGACTGGTTCACGGAGGTAAATTCCGACATAGTCAAGAGTTTGACCCTGAGATTTATTGATTGTCATTGCAAAGCATAAACGGACAGGAAATTGTGTCCGTATGAATGGAATACCATTCTTTTCGGTGTGAGAAGTTTGCAAGGGAATTTTTGGGATGAAGACCTTTTTGCCTCTATGAAGGCCAGAGACAATTTCGGCAGAAATTGTGTGCTCAGCCAATTCTCTACAGATTAATCTGGTCCCATTGCAAAGACCTTCCGTTGGATTCAGATTTCTGAGCAGCATTATAGGACAGTTTTCTTTGAGCAAGAGTTGATGAGGAGGTAGACCTTTTGGGTTCAAAGAATTTAGAAAGTCCTGATAATCCGCTTGATATCTCCTATCAACAGTTCTATCACAGCTTATATATCTGTGAAGACATCCAGGGAATTTTGCAATCATCACCTCATTAATTTCATCAACTGAATAGTTTTTTGGACAAAGGACACATCTATTTATCATTTGGTAACGATCACATGAGTATAGATTCAGATCAGGAAATATGATCCCAAGTAACCTGGAAAATTGTACATGTAATTAGTTGGAGCAATCAAAGTACATGGACAAAAAGAACGACTAATAGCACACTAAATGATTATAACCTGTCAAGTGATTCTTGTTTGTTATGATAAGGAATAACCATATGAGATGGTAGAGATATTTGACTATGTTCATCAACATGTTCAACACCTTCTCCAACTCTAAGCAAAAAAGCTGAAAATGTTGGATCTAAGGCAGCTCTCATATTTGTTCGTAGTTGTAGTTTACACATATGAGACCATAAATGTGAGCATAAAAGAGTTGATTGGACCAAATCTGGTGGAGGTAGATGTTCAACAATAGGCAGGGTTTGGCGAAAATCACCGCCAAAAGCAATTGTTTTTCCTCCAAATGGCAGATCAGATTCCATTATATCTGTAAGAAGACAATGAAACGCTTCTATTGCTTCTCTTTTTGCCATCGAAGCTTCATCCCACAAGATTAATTTAGCATCAACAATTAGTTTTGCAACACTGCTTTGTTTACTTAATTGACAAGCCTTTTGTTTTGAAAAATCCAAAGGGATTTTAAACCTTGAATGTGCAGTTCTACCACCAGGGAGGAGTGATGCCGCAACACCAGATGTGGCAACTGCTATTGCGACATATCCTTGTGAGCGGAGAGAAGCAAGAAGCGCCCGATATAAGAAAGTTTTCCCGGTTCCACCTGGACCATCTACAAAGAAAGCTTGACCCTTTGAGGAGGATACTGAATCCAGAATTAAGTCAAATGCATGCCTCTGGTCAGAATTGAATTTTTGAGCAAGAAGCAGATCTTCTGGATCAATAGGTATGGTTGTTTCACTTTAAATTTCTTTGGTGAGACGCTCACCATGGCAAGATGCAAAGGAATCTTCAAGAAAATGATAATCATCGAGAGTTTTCCCCATGTGCTCCAATGTTACATTAATATCCCAAAGAACTTTTCTTTTGATCTCTATCGGCGTGCAATGTCGATGAGCTGAACTTCGTTTATAATCAGAAGATAGATGTTCTTCGAATGATTGCCAAAGATGTTTAGGGTCTTTCGGTCAGCAATAGAAAAGAAGCATTGCGAATAAAAACCTTAACAAATAAGGCATCTGGAATTGAGCTGTTTCCTCTAATGCTTGTTCTATGTAAGAATCAGATTCAAGCAAGTCTAACTCCAAACAGGCCTCTCTAAAAGAGGCTGTTTTATGACCTCTAACCATAAGTAAGTCATCAAATGACGTCGGACCTGGAATATGTGTGAGTAAAAGTCTTAAATAGTATCTTTCTCCTTCTCTAGGTTCAACAGTAACCAGCCTTCCTATGACCGTTCTACGACTCCTCTCTGACCATGTCTTTGTCTTTGGTGTCCACACAAAGTGTTGAGGGAAATCTCTATATAAACATTTCAAATTCTGAGCTGTGGCATTGGTTTTGTTCATTCTGAAAAACTGAGTCAGCATAGTCTTTGAAAAATCAATCTTCCTTAACAGATACCACAAATCTGAACTTTTATCAAAAGAAACAAATTGTTGGTCAGGAAGGTGGACTTGGAGGGTATAAACAGCTGGATTCATTTCTGTCAGGCGAAATTCATATATTCGCCACAAAGCTTCCGGAGGTGAAACCCAACGTGCTTGCTGGAAGGAATTAATTTCATCAATGGTACCAGAAGAACCTTGGTCAACAAGATTAAAGCTGATAAGATCATGACCTTTAAAAATATATTTGTAAAGGTACTTAACAAGCTTAACAGTGGAGCAGATTTCAACATTGATGTGGCAATCAAATAGAGCTAATAAGTATGGGCTGTAAGGTATCACCCATAGGTTGTTGAGCTCATGCTTGCGCACCTTTATTTTTCTGCCATCATCTCTTCTTCTATAACATGCATAGCTGTCCTCACCATGAACTGTATAAGGAGCAAAATTTTTAGGATAATGATTTTTGCATTTACCAGCTCTCATGCACGGGCTTTGTTTATCCCTATAACCACAGGGGCCATGAATCATATGCTTAATGACCAGGGAATATAAATGCCTATTCTTCACAGGGTCTGGTATTTCAGCACAAACAATTTTGTCATATGATTCAGGATTCAATAGTTTGGAGCCTGATTTAAGAATAAGCAGCAAATGGGCATGTGGAAAGCCTCGCTTTTGGAATTCAATAACATAGACACAGGCTGCAACCTCACCAAAAATCTGTTTCTTAAGGAGCTCAACCTTTAACATTTCAAACTTAGCTCTAAAAACTCTAGCCAGCAAATCAGGCCTATCCTGTGGTTTTTCATGGTATTGAAGATTCTCCTGAATTTCTTTCCACATCGGATTGCAAGTCATGGTAAGAAATATGTCAGACTTGCCGTACTTTTGAACCAAGGTCATTGCATCAAGATATCTTCTTCTCATGTCCCTTGGGTCGCCAATAAATGAAGCAGGCAATACAATTCGACGGCCGACTCTAGACCCCTGTGTTTGGCCTATTGCAACACTGTCTAGAACCCCTTGAAGGATCTCTGTTCTAATTTCAGTTTGCCGCTTTCTATGAAAATCTAGTCTAGATGTTTCAATTTTTATATATGTACCAACAACAAATTGCTGAAATAATCTCAGGCTATGAATCAATATAGAATCATCATTGTCTCTTATTTGCAGCCGATAACAATAGTACTCCCTAGCAGAAACAGTATAGTCTTGAGAGGTTTTTTGCCGAACAGCTAAAAAGGGGAAAAAGAGCAATATCTTATAGCAAAATTTATAGAGTAGGACAGCAGAAAGAGTGTATAAATATAAGAAATAGACATGCCTATATCTTCAAAGTGGAATAAGGCAGAAGGATCCTGGGCAGAAGAAAAATCAACATGAACTTCTGGGTCATCAGTATCAGGTTTCTTCATTTTTGAGAATAGCCTCTTGATCCTACGATGCCAACCAGATTCACCTCTAGGGAAGAGAAGAGGATACTGAACAGGATCGTAACACGCATAATATGATTGGACCCTATAACTTGCGTTGGAATGGCTATAAACCTGAATGTGGGGGCTCTTCTCAGCCAACTCATCATCTGGCTCGGTCCATATAGCGGCAACTTGAGAGGCAGTAGGAAGATTAAAGACACGCTGATCTAGGCCAGAATAGCACCTAAGAACTATAGTATGGGTCTCAATGGCCTGAACATGCCTAAGTTCTTTAAAAAACCGCCTATAAGGATTTTCTTGCAGGATTGTCATTAAAAGCTTGAGGGTGGCCGGCCGAAGCTTATCAGAATTTTGAACTCTGTTTGTTTGCTCTTCATCAGTGTCAAAAAAATATAACTGAACTCCCGAGGATTTATCAGACCGAGAGATTAGACCATCCAAGAAGTGATACACCTGGCCCTGGACTCGAAATGTATAAACCCCTTTTGTATTTTTTGTCAGCTCATGATCATACTTAGCACCATAAGACGTGAATGTCACATTATTATTATATGTACGGGAGTTCTTCCTAAAGTGCTCGCATTCCTCATCATTACCAATGAACAGGCGTTTAAGAGCATAAGGCATAGCAGGAGCAACAACAGAGATTTCACCTTCAGAGCAACAAAAAGAAGGAGGTTCTGAAGGGAAGCGTTTGGCACCACAGTGTTCACAATTTGGAGTAGGAGGAAGAATAGCAGATTGGGTTGGAATATTTTCTAGCCGAGATAATCTGGAAGGCACATGCTGAAGATTCCTACCTGGAAAGATCCAAAAAGAAGATAGAAGTATATACACATGGCTAATGGGAATGATGATTAGCAGGAGAAGGCAAGTTGCTTCTTTGCAAGAGCGAGTAGCAAGGTTTTCTGTCTAAAAAGTTACAAGGTTCAAGAGCTAAGCATGATCCTTTTTTTCAGACAGGTGACAATGAGAATACAAAAGCTTCCTTGTTGTAATGAAAAATACGCAATTTTTCAAATGACATAAGGACAACTTTTAAACTGGAGTTTAATACGGAAAACAAATATGCAAAAAGCATGGAGTGCAAAGGCACAGGCAGCTGTATGCTATACAAGATAAGTCTGATAGCAAACGAGCGAGTTCTAATTAGGCTACAAAAACAAAGCAAATCGATGGCGAACCAAATTATAAGTATACCTCGAGCAAGTTGCCACGGAAGAGAGGCTGGCGTAGGATAAGAAGCTGAAGTAACATATTCTGACTGAGTAATGAACAGATTCTCCCTATTGTCATTTAAAGATGAAGAAGCTGGGATGGAACTATCCACAGCGCCAACCAAAACAACACCAGTCTGAGTATATCCTAGTGGAGTACTACTAAAATAATCTCGGCTATTCTCGACAGGTCTTTGAAAACGGATCGTTTCACCAGAAGAAGGCACAGCAGTGGCTGCCTTCTTTGAAGCGTTCCGTTCTCGACGGCGATGGAGCAGGTCAGCTTTCTGACTATGCGGCATTTCCGCATACCTCTTACGTCTCTTAGCATTTTTATCCATGTGTGGATAATGCGAGCTTGAAAAGTATACAAATACATAACGGCCAATGTATTTCTTTGAATTGAAAGATACAAAATGCAATATAAAGTTGCATACAATGAAGCAAAAGAAGACACATTGCAAGTTAAGCGTGTAAAAAGAAAGCAAACATAGCATGTAATGGAACGGAGCAAGCATAGCAGTAAGAGAGATAGGGGGGAGAGGTTGGAGCGAACAGAGAAGCAAGCCATAACAACAAGAATAAGAATATATAAAAAAACCACAACAGGGTGATGCGAAACCAAGTAGAAAGGAAATTACCTGGAGCAACAGGCAGGCGTAAGCAGAAGAACATGCTAGATGAAGCAGTTGAAATGGGCCTGCAGTAACCAAAAGGAAGACTGTCAAAATTTTTTTTCCTTTGATGCGAAACTGAAACCCCGATAAACCACCAAAGAAAAAACAAAGTAATCCAAAAGGAAGAAAACAAACATATGATACACCAAACAATTGCCAAAAAACGATTAGAATGAGCAATGCTGAGATCAACATAATGTCTTTTGCTTACTGGTTTATAACAGTGAAAAGAGCTATTGCTAATTATCTGGTTGCCCCAAGTAAAATTTGTTTTCCTCGGAACATGTTTTATATCAAAACTAACATGAATTGTTGGTCAACCAAATAATTAAAAATTACAGAAGCATGTACAACAACATCCAATTTTTTGGCACAAAAAAAAAAGATAAGTTGGACAAGAGCTCTCTCCTTGCTTCCATCTTTCAATGCAGTTTTTGAGCTGCAAATAGGGTGATTAATTGAGCGTTTTTTTGGTTCTTAAATTTTCTACAAGACTATCATCATTCAATAGGGAATTATAGTGACGTGGTGAAAGGATCAATTAATTTAAAAATCCGCTACTAAAAGGCCTCAATTCCAACGCCTTAATCCTAAAGTCGAAGCATGACTTTATTTTAATAAGCGCAATAATAGACAGCTACTATAGTGGCAATACAGCGGTATACAAGTATGCATAATAAAAAATAGTTTTCAAAGATGTATTTTAAAAAAATTTTGGGAGAACAATCTGCTTGATGGAAGGGCAATTGGGCGGTTTGTTATTTGGTATCTTGTTTGGGTTAAGCAGACTGTACAGCAACAACAATGTAAAGCGGGGAAAATACAGCGTACGGAAGGCTGAGGATCAGGCGGAGGCAGTAATTTGAGGGAGAATTTGGAGGGGCAGCGCTAATTTGGGGGCGGGGGGGGGAGACGGAAGCACACTGATCCAGTAAAATTAAGAACCAGAAAGCGAGGGTGGGAAGAGCGGAGGGAGGGATTCGTCCAAAACAGATGCTGTAATTGGTGGGATGTGCAATCAACAAACATGGAGGAGAAAAGAAAAGGAAAGGGAAACGGAGAAGGCGATAAAAGCAGGTGGAAAAAAGAGGAGCAGAGGTTACCTGGCGGAGCGAAATGGGAAGCAGGGAGAAGGAGCAGCAGCAGGGAAACACCAACGGAAGAACAATTGACCAGTCGTGGGGAGAGGTAAGGAGAAGCAGCTACATCGGCCATCATTGCAGCAACCCAATCCGTCAGCAGCCACGGGGAGACAGCAGAAGGAGAAGGCGTGTAAGGGGGCAAAGCGGAACAGTAAAGGCTGGGGGGACGCAGCCGGACAGAGCGATGGAGCGGGGAAAAAATAAAAAAAGAGAAGAAGCCAAGACGGGGGGAAAAAGGGAATTTTTTAACATATGGGGCAGGGAAGATAAATTTTGGACCTCTATGGGGGGCTAAATTTTGCAGCTGAACGAAACAAAACAGAATCTGTGGTCGAGGAAGAAAGAAAAAGAAGGACAGAAGGAAGATGGAGCCGCTAGAGATGAGCTGGCTCAGCCAGCAGAGAGGCACCTGACGGAGCCAACCTAACGGATGCAGGCAAATAGGGCCAACGAAAGACGGGTCTTACAAGGTGAAACTTGAGTTGAGGGTAAAACTTGAGCTGCAAAGAAGACCGCACAAGGAGGAAAAGCTTCAGCTTGGTGGAGTTGGTACACAGGAGACTAAGGAAGTGGCAGAGAAGTGACCCACGACCTCAGCCAGCCTCCCACCGAGCAAGAAGAAAGAAATGAAAGAAGAAAACAGTGCGGGGGGGAAAAAAAGGACACCAAACAAACGAATCCCCAGCCGCCACGTGGAGGACGACCACGTCCACGTGTACACCGGGCGTCCGCCCTTAGTCTATATGGTTAATGAATATAGAAGTAAGAGTTTTCGTTGTCCGTTTTCAAGTTAGAGTGAATTAGAATTTTCACGTTTTTTCGTAGTGTAATTATTCGGTACGGAGTGAGGATCAAATTTAGTAGATAAGAGTGAATTTTGGATGAGGAAATATTATATGATTAGAAGTGATAATAATAAGTTAGTGATTAGAAATTAAAAACCCTAGTATATGCGATTTAAGAAATCGGTTCAAACTGACGGGTATCAATCACTACCGATTGAACCCACCACTTGACCACTACTTCCTTACCACCACATACCCTTGATATTTTTGCAAAATATCTCCCTCATCCTCAGCCTTATTGCCGAAATTATTGACCCAAAATGCAAGGAAAAGAAAACAAAATTTTAGTTGGTTTTGGTGGTGACAAGTGTCGGTCACCTATGGTTCCTTGACCAAGCCAAAGTCTTATCTTCTTATCTTCTATTTGAGCTCATTCTTCCTCATTTTTTTTCTATTTTGGCCGAGCTTAAGAGAGAGAGAGAGTGCAAGAGAAACAACTTCAATCCATCTTGAGTTTGAACCATTTGAGTGAAAATAAGAAAAACTAAACCGATTAATCAATAGTTTGAGAGTTTGGGAAGTTTAAAGAACCAAAAATTTCTAAGAGAGGTGGAGGATATCTTTTGAAAGCTTGTTCTTGAGGTATATTGGCCATCCCTTATCTTTGGCTCTTTTACTTTTGTTTAAGTTGTTATATAACTTATGATTTGGTCAAATTGGTAGCTATAGAAGTAGTTTTGGTGATTTTGGGAGAATTGGTGAGTTAGAGTTTGTATTGATTAGCCATATTTCTTTTTGTTTAGATGGATTATGATGGGAATAAGTGTAGATAAGGAGGTGAGGTAGTGTTTTAAGCTAGAATTACGAAGATTAGCACTTGTAGGCATAAATTCTAGATTTTCGATTTTGCACCTCCCCTGTTCTGTTTGGTTCTAGTTCACCATATTAGAGGTTGAATTAGGCTTAGTATAAAACATGAAAGTTGTAGCGAATGATATTTTATGATTGCCTACAAAATTTCACCTCAATCGGAGTAACGTAGCCTATAAAAGGACCAAAATACCCTGACTGCCATAGGAGTAAAGTCAGTGGACCGTTTTGACAGTACACTAAGTTGGTTGCATTTGTTCACCTTGATACATACTGAACTAGCTTTCAGTCAAAACATGAAAGTTTTAACCCTATGTTTCATCTTTTCAACGCAATTGAAAACACCCCAATCGGATTTCGGTAGCCTGAGTTATTATCGTTTACGTATAATGCGGTTAACAAGCCCGAATATGAGATTTTGGTTTTGTAATCCGGACTTTTGACCTAGATACACTGTGAACTAGATTGAGTAGTCTTCATCAAAATTGTAGCACTCTGTCTTAGCTTCGAAACGGTATCAATTGTACCCCAATCCGATAAGCGTAGCTTCTGTTGTGCTCCTTACGCTAAGTGGTGGCAAATCTGTCTTTTGATTTATGCCTTACATTTCATTTCCGGACATGTACCTAGTTTAATTTGGTATTTGTATGATTTTGAGTCTATTGAACTGCTATTGAAATAAGGTTATTTTATGTGTGAATTTGGGACTGTTTGAGAAAAATATTGAAGTCATAAATGGCTGAAGAATAGGTAAACACAAGGGGTATACCGCCAAATTTTTACGAGAAAGATAAACTAGCCTTTGTAGTTCTAGTTCTATATCTTGCAAATTTCACTTGGATACACTAAAAACTGGGTCGAGGTGTCTTCATGGAAGTTGTAACCTTTTGTTTAAATTTCGAGGCACTACCTAATACATTTTGATCCGATAACCACAGCTCCAGTTATGGGCAAAATCGTGTAATCCGGTTTGTACCATTTTCATTTCCACGCACGCGCAAGTGTATTTCTCAGTCGTTTTTGCCGTTTTGGACCGTTTAGGTCTACTTTTGTTATTTTGTTACAATTCCAGCCGTTTCGGCTAATTTCGACATTCTTTTGGCCTTAACGTCATTTTTTACCATTTTTTATTATTTTTGACCGTTTTCGACCGTATTCGATCGTTTAAGTTATAAATTGCTATTGTATGGTCGTTTCACTTATGTGTGTATATAATCTATCAATACAGATTATGAGGTTTTCGACGGTGACGGTCAAACTCAGTGAATTGTATCGTTTTCTTGCCAAATTTTATCAAATGAGTAATTGGGTTGTTATTAATGTGGAATTATTAAAGTGCTTTGTATATGTTAAATGGGTACTTAGGCGAGGGTGTACTTTATCTCACTCGACCTAAGCCCATCCTTTGTTTTGATTTTCTATGTGAGAATACATGTCTTATGTTGAGTATCACCCTTTTGCTGTGTGCTGATGAGGGTGATTACATGACTTGAATTGAACCCCATTTGCTGTGTGCTGTTTGGGGTAAATACTTTGTTATCTACTTTGTTGAGAGATACCATCTATTGAGAGATCGGATATCTCAGAGCTTGGTTCCAACCCGATTCCAAGGATTAGATGAACTATTCGAGTCAGTTGGGGTTTGGTCGAAGATAGTTTCATGCTAAATTTGGGACTTAGTTCCTTGTTAAAGTTTTGACGAAAGTTAAGTTATTTTGTTTCGCTCGATCTGCTGTGTGCTGTTGACTGGCCAGCGGGGGTTGATAAGGTGAACGGGAAAAGTTAAATGGAGTCTACAGACTATGAGTACTTTGGTTGACGGAGTGTC